GGGGTGTGCCTTTTTTTTTTTTAAAAAAAAAAAAAAAAAAAGGCAAGTCCCTTGAATTAAAGTTCAGGAATTGTCAAAACTAAGCTGTGATTTTCAAATCCGCTTATCACAACTTTGGAGAAGACAATGGAGGTATCTACTGGGCAGGAGGATGCTTCCAGGGAGCTGGAAATATTTTCTTTCTTGATCTGGGTGCTGTGTTCATGGGTGTGTGATTTTGCAATAATTCATTAAGCAGAACATACATGAGTTGCACCCTTTTTTGAGTTGTGTACTCTTCTGTACGTATATTAGATTTGAACCAAAAAAGAAAGACAAGTGCCAGAAGTTCTGTAACTCTGAAGGTGACTCAGCACCACTGGGCGCACAGTTACTGGTTAAGGTAAGAGGGCTGCCTCCTCAAACTAGCCGAGCTGGCCCCAGCCTGGGGTAGCCCCTCGATAATCCTTCTACCTAAGCACCAACCGCAAGGTAGGATTATGGATCTCTCTCCATCTCTCAGCCTCACAGAGCACTCTGGAGAACAGAGAATGCGTCTATTCCTCTCTGAATCACTGGTACCTGCACAGAGAATGTTCCAGAAATGTCTGTGGAGGGAGTGAGGATGAGAATGAGGGGCTGTGTGCAAACACTCAGTGTGTGAGGACCGTGTGGAGATGGCTGTTAGCAGAGGTGGGGGAACGAGGGGAGGGAGGGGAGACCTGGGCTCGGTGGAGGGGTCAGCAGGCTGACCTGGGTGTGGACGGGATTTGGCGGTTGCTGTGCTCCACTCCTGAGGAGGGGGTGGCCTGAGTTTCAGTGCTGTTCCAACTGCCACTTCCCATGTGGCACAGGACTTAACAAGCCTCCCTGCTCTTAGAAACAAATGGCATGCAGGTCATTTAAACTGGTCAGCACTGGCCCTGTTAGCCAGCCACCATTTCCCTTTCCAGAAGACGGGAAATGTCAGGGAACAAACACACGTTTCCTTGCTTATTTTTTCTGGACAGTGAGGAGAAGCCTTGGGAAGAGAAGCTATTGCCAGAATGAGCGCTGACTTACCGAGCACAGTCAGCTCCGCTATCTCCTTCAAACAGGAGTTTCTGTAGGACACAGCCTTGGACAGCTGCCAGAACCCCACAGGGACCACCCTGCAAAGAAGGACGCACGTCAGTGCCTGTGAGAACTGACCCAGGGCAGGGCCACCTGCTCCTCCAGAACCAGCCTCCTCCAACAGGTTACAGAGCCTCAAACGGGGGTCTCCTGCGTGGTGACTCCTTCTGTGAAGTGCTGACCCTGAGTCACAGAGAGGGGGTGACAGAGGCCCAGGTGCCCATCGCTAGAGGAAGGAGCAAAGTCTGTGGTGTGTGATGGGGGGAAAGTGACTCTTCACAACCCATCAGGGGCTGTCACCACGGGTGTCCAGGCATCCAGAGACATGTTTCCACGTCCACAGCCTGACGGTGTCAACTGTCTACCCAGCCTTCAAGGCCCATCCTAAAGGCCTCCTCCTCCAGGAAGGCTTCCCTGACCATCTCAGCCAGAAGCAAGCCCCTTGGGCAGCCTCCGCTTGTGTAAGCAATCTTGTTCCCCAGCCGGTGGCCTGCCTCAGCACCTAGTAGGTGTGACTTGGAGGGAGAGGGCTCCTTGAGGAGCTCACCCCTGTAGGCATCAATAAGTACAAGGACTGTCAGAGCAGGGGCCGTGGGTGCCCTTGAACTCGGGGTGCAAGAAGATGTGCTTGGGCAAGTTAGGGGCAGAAGCGGGTGGTCTTAGGGTTCTTCCTCAGGCAGTGTGGGGCAGGGGGAGGCTCCTGGGGCTTGAGAAACGGAACCTGGATAAGCTGCCAGATTTTACAGTTATCTTCTGGCCCTGAAAATGTGTATCTTGGCAACTGTGTATAAGCCATGTTCAAATCCTGCCACAATCTACCTCCATTTCCCTGTCTTATATCATATCCTCCCCGCACACTTCTGGTCCTCACGCTTGGTACTTTTGCCCCTTCCTGCAGTCCCTGTATTTTCACACAGCCTCCCTTTGTTCATGCTGCCCTCTGCCTCCAGTATCCTTTCTCCAGCTCTACCTGCAGAATCGTCTCTCGGTACTTAGCTTAAGGACCCTCTCTGGTACCCCTGAGCAGACACAGGCCCCCTCCTGCTCCCTGTCCCCTCCGGCACCATGCACCCCTCACGGCAGCGGTCATGTTGCCCCGCTCTGCTCTGCCAGCCACACGTGAAGTTCCTGCCCTGGGTGACAACTCAGCAAATGAGGGGCTGGCGCAGGCAACACCCACAGGATTTACCAAACTGGGGGACATGTGCCCCTGTCCATGATGGGCCCACAGCAGGGTCCCCGGGGGGCACTTAAAAACAACCTGCCTTGTTCTGCACGATGCCATATTTTAATGATGCTGAGTCGTTAAAGGAAAAATTCTGAAGTTTCCACTCTTCGTTGAAACAGCAAAAGCTGGAACCAAACAGAATGGTCTTTATGTCCTGTCAAAAGAAGAGAGAATTGTATTGGTTGTTTTAAAAGCAAACAACAGTACACTGCTGGGTGTTTGCATTCCCACTGGAGCTGGTCTTGAGTTCTAGCAGGGTAGTCTGTTTTCTTTTTATTTTGCAAACCCATTCTTCTCGTATTTGAGGAGAGAGAAAATGGACCCTCAGGGTTTTACCTCTGGAATATCTGTAAACCTTACCAGCCTGTGCTGACCCAGGCCAAAATCTTTTGAGCTTCCTTAGAAGTTCCTTGATACACAAAATTTTAGTTTTACAAAAGACCTTGGAGGTTCTTGACTGCACATTATAATTACCTACAGAGCCCTGAACAATCCTGACGCTCAGGCCCAGTGCCAGGCCAACTAAAGCAGAACCCCTGGGCGTCGGACGCTGGTATCTGTACTATTAAAAGCTCCCCAGGTGATTCCAACGTACAGCCAAGTTTGAGAACTGGTGCTCTAGCAAACTGTGACCCATACGCCAAATCCGACCCTCCACTTGCTTTGTAAATAAAGTTTTATTGAAACACAGCAATGCCCATTTGTTTACATATTGTCTGTGTTTTCTTTTACATTACAATAGCAGAGCTGTGCGGTTGCAACCAAGAGCCAAAAATACGCTATGTAGCCCTTTACAGAAAACGTCTGCCAACCCCACACCGGTACAACCCCTTCCTACGTGTAAGGATCTCCTCTGCAACATCACCGGAGAGTGGTCCCCCCATAAACTTGGCTTGAACACTCCAACCACCAAGTGACGAGGGTTCCCACCACTTCCCAAGGCAGCCCCTCCATTTCTTCACAGCTCTGTGTTCTCAAAACTTCTGGCCGATATGGATCTCCCGTCAACCCAAGCCTCACCCTCCAGAGCCCCAGAAAGTGCCAACCGCTCCCCACTGACCAGCCCGTGGATGGGAAAGCAGAGCCTCGTCTCCACTCGCCCCTTCCCCGTGCCGGCTGCCTCTTCTCTCTCCGCCATGATTTCATATCCGGGAGTATATGAAGGGCCAGCACGTGGATTCTGTCACGACCCCCTCAGACCGTCTCTTTCCAGGTCATATCTTTCCTACAGACTCACGTTTCCCTCTAGAATCGGTTCTTTTTTTTTCTTTTCACTAAGTACAGGGAAAATCTCTATGACAGAGCGTTTGTCTACACGTCACCACACGTGGGCTGGTGGCACACAGGAGAGAAGGGTGGGTAAATTCGTCTGTCAGGGCTTGGTTCCCCTTCTTGCACCAACTACAATCATCCATGTATTTGGACTGAGTTTCCCAAGAGCCTAGACACTATAGGACCTTGAGTTTTCTGGCTGAAGCCCATGTCTATTCTCTCAATCACAGAATGACAGCTCCCAGCTAGGCAAAGTATGGTTGCCAGGTCACAGGGTTACGAGCCTGGAAACCTGGGTCCTGCTTGCTGTGGCTGTGGATACCACGTGTCCTGGGTCCTCCTTTCTCTGTGTGGGCCTCGGTTTTTTCAGCTGCTTTGGGAGGTGCTACTACTGGGTGGTCTTTAGAGGCCTCTGAGGACCCTTCCCGAAATAGCGGTACCCACTGCAAAGAATCATAGCCCTGTGGCTACAGACAACCAAAGCACTTACTCCCAGGCTTGGGGCCACTTAACTGTGTGCCTGACCCTCTCCCTGTGGTTTCAAAAGAAGGAAGGGAAAAGGAGAAGAGGATGGGGAGGGACGAAACCTCCAGAAAAACCTGACTCTTCATCTGCGGGCTGAGCAAATACTTGGTAAAGCGGGAAGAGAACAGGGTCAGCTGTGTCCCCAGGAGTTTTATTTTCCCCTCCTGGATCCTGGCTGAAAAGCCAGTGGAGGACAGCAGGGGCAGCATCGCATCCCGCAGGAACCGCAGGCCACGGAGAAGGGCAAGGCCCTATGGCAGCAGAGATGGTGAGGAATGCAGGACATCCCCACAGAGGAGGCTGCTGAGGCCAGGAACCGGCTCCCGAAGTCCCGTGACTCCAGGGGGTCACTGGTGTGAACCCAGTGGCGCTGAGGAATTGGTAACACTTCCCTGACCTTCCCTCACTGCAGCCCAGCCTGAGCCCAGCTCAGGGGACCAGTGCAGGAGCACAGTCAAGCTAATGAGGACAATTATCCAGTTCCCATCGCAACCCTGGAGTTACCGGTTGCGGACATGGTGAAGCAGAGCTCTGGGCCAACAGAAAAGCCGGATTCCGGAATGTTTGAATGGGAGGAGGTTGTATCCTCACCTCTTGTCTCAGAGAAGGAGAGGGAGGTGCCAGGACTAGGCCCTCGTTTTCCTGACTCTCCGTTCAGGTCTTCTTCCACATCACATGCAAATCTCCATTTTAACAGTGACTGAGAGATTATAACGGGATGAATGGAGCCAGAGAGATGAAAATCACCTCATCCACACTAACTCAAACCCAGACGCCTTCAATTCACACCAACTCAAATCCAGACACATCACCTCGCACTTTCCAACTGACACCCACCTTTGCCACTGAGAGGTCGATGGGCTTTGACTCTACTTGCAGCTTGAGCATCGATGGCACTGGAGACAGGATGACTTCTTCCCTTAGCAATTCATCCTCCACATCCTCTGAAAGACAACCGTGGCCACGTGAGCTCCTTGTTATGACTCACAGAGAACAGACTAGGAAGCCGTTTAACACCCAGGACACTGATGAGTCTTGAGGTGGCTGGAATGAGAGGAGGGCTCCTCCACCACCCACCCCCTGTCCCCGCCGAGGCTTCCCAAGCCTTCATCAGAAGGAGAAAGGCAGAGTGAGAGCCCTTGCTCTGTGTCACCCCACGCTGGTCCCAGGATGCTGGCAGATGGGACTTGGCTATCAGTCCACTAGAAAGCTCTGCTCGTGGACATGCAGAAACAAGGGCCTAGGCCTAAGCTGTCGAGTCAGGCCCAGAAAAGCCTGGCTCAGACACAATTCTTACAAAAGGTGGGCGTGACCCACAAATCTGTCCCCCTGAGGACAAACACGAAGATGGCGGAATTAGGAAAGAAAATGCCGCCCTTCCTGAGAGAATAATAACAGTTATAATAGATTATCACTATTGTGGCTTTCATTTACTTACCATCTGTGCTTTATCATCTAAGCCCCAGAACAGCTTCCACGAGAGAGTAAGTATCATCATCCCCATTTAAAGATGAGGAAACTGAGGCTTAGAGAAGTGAAGTAACTGACCAAAAGTCACACAGATGGAAAGGTGCAGAGATAGAACATAAACCCAGGCCGACTCCTAATTGCTCGGCCATCCTGCCAGTCAGACCTCCCTGGACCTCCAGCCAGAAGGGAAACTAAGTCACATTCTCATAGCTGGGGTGACTGAGGCCCACAGAGGGTCCCAGCGTGGGTGTTGACAGCACCAGCCTGTGCCTTCCCAGCCGGTGAGGCTCCCTCTCGCCATCATACGCACTGCCGCAGCATCGACCAGAACCCTCAGATGCAGGACCCAAGTGAAAACAGCCCAAGGCAATTATGCTGGCAAAGCTGGGCAGGCCGGTCTCCAGAGAGCCTCTGGAGACTTTTTCCATCCCCCTTTCCCCAAGATTAAATGATTATTTAAAAAGCACGCCACACTGTATAGAAACCAACATTGCCTGCCATAATTCTGTGCATCTGGGACTACAGAAATGTCACGGTCCCTGCCCCGCATCTTCTGAGACGGTGTGCAAAGGCCAACATCCTCAGAACACGTGCCATAAATCTTATTCTGCAGCTTCCTTTTCTCCCCTGGAGGAGGACCAGGCACAGCACGAGGCTCGGTCCACCGAGATGGAGACAGATTTTACCTTCAGGGTGAAAACAAAATTTTTAAACAAGTCTGGAATTTAAGTGAGAACCTTTCTTAGTTAGGGTCTCTAAAAAAGCCACCCTGTGACCATGGCCTTACAAAAACACCTGAAATAAAGACCAGATGTTCACCCAGCAACACACACGGGTCTTGAAAACATGGCTCTGGGTAGAGAAAGTAAGAAAGCAAATGGGATGTATAACACAACACGATTTACATCCATCATAAACACATGCACACAAAACAACACTAAGCATTTTTGCAAGAACATACACAAGCAGAAAGAAATCACTAAATACGTGAGAGTGGTTGCTTACGGAGACAAGGGTCAGGTCATGGGAGTGTAGCATGAGGCTAAAGGGAAATCAGGAAGGAAAGGCAAGAGGGAGGCCAATGAGCAGGCTTTGCAAAGATCAATACTGAGAATGTTAATTAAGTAACAGAGATGTGTGATTAATCCAATCCTAGGCATCTGAGGGCCAAAAGAGACGGGGAGAGTAACTGAGTGATTCCGCCAGGCCCTGAAGGGTCCTTGTGATGCCTCAGCCAGACTGTTTCCTGGAGGCCCAGAGCGGGCAGGATTTAAGCCTATTTGGAGGCTTCTGTTTAGTCTAAGGCTGTCCTGAAGGGAACCAGGGCTGAAACCCTGGTGCTCTGCTTGAGCCCCATGAACTAAGTCTGAGGCTGGAGGCTGGGGGCCCAAAGGGAGCTGACTGATGGAGCCCCCAGGAACAGGCAGCCTGCCTCGGCTTCTGCCAGGAGGCAGCTGGCGCCTGTGCAGGGAGCTGGTTCAGGACCATGAGGCAGGTCCAGATGTGGCGGGATGGCCGTGCAAAGGAAAACAAAGCACTCCAGCATGACATGTTGGCCAAGCAGACAAAACCAGCTGCAAACGCCAGTGGCTTGAAAATGCTATTTTTAAGGCCCTGGTGTAAATGCCTGGTTGAAAAGAAGCAAGGGATTTTGTTTCCCATACCATTTCATTTCCCCTTTGGAGGAAAGCATATACATATATTGGCGGTACTTAATAGAGGCCCGTATCGCTCGTTCTCCAAGTTCCCACTCAGTACTTCACACTAACTGCAAGATATCTTCTCCTGGAAGCGCCCCAATGCCCTGGACTCGGGGTTCTCAGCACAGAACCCTTCCAGGCTTCCATTTTGATAAGACTCCATCGCCCCAACCCTCCACCCGGGACCCAGGCCAAAACCTCAAACCTCTCCCACACGCCACGCTGCTCCAGCCTCCAGACTATACCGCCTCCAGAATCCTCATACGCTGCCCCCCGCCTTCTCTCCCCACTATTACAGGAATGTGTTGTCATTTTTCTATTTGTTCATCAAGCACTTTACTGAATACGCATAGATGTGCCACTGGTTATGTGGGACGGAGGAGGTCCAGAGATGGTGAAAACACCACCCCTGCCTTCAAGGAGCTCACTGCCTAAGAACACGACGTTAGTGCTAAAATGCAGACGGGTGCAAAGGTTATAAGAGCAGAGGGGAAGAGGTAAATAATTCTGCCTTAAAGGGTCAGGGAAGCTTCCCACAAGAGGTAAACATTTGATCAGGGTCTTGAAATACCCATAGGATTTCCCCAGATAGAACAGGGCTCCAGGCACCTCTTCTCTGGACTATTCTAAGAGACCCTCACCAGTCTCCCAAACGTGCAGACTCCTGCCCCTAAAGTCCATCCTCCACGCACATCCAGAGATGGCCTCAAACATCGTTCGCTTCACATCTCTGCTTGACAAGACCTTGCTCATCCGTCAAGCCCGGTCTAAATGCCAGCTCACTATGGAAACTTCTGGAACCCACCACAGTCTTGGCCTACTCACCTCCTGAAGCAGTGAGGAGCTGCTGGTCATCCACTTTGTGTGTTGCTATCGGGGTCACCTCTATTCCTTCGTCTCACCCAGCCCCACCCTCCAAGAAGGCAAGGCCACTTTTCATCACAGCGATGAAAAGTGCTTTTGACAGCCCTGTATGTGCCCAGGCATGTACTGCTAACCAAAGTTTGCTGACTTGAACCAAAGAAAGATGAGTTGGGATGGGGAAGGGAATGCTACTCCTTGTTTCTGACTCCCCACCCCAAACTACTCTTCCCCTTTCTCTGGGTGACTGGGTCGCATGCCCTCTTATCTTTTATCTCCGTCGTCTTCTCTAAATCGTCAGCTGAGCCACCAGCAAAGAGGGGTCGGCCTCCCTCCGGAAAAGGCACGCACACTTCAAACAGCTTGGTTCTGAGAGAACTGCTAAAAGCCCTCCTCCCAATAGAAGCCCTCTGGGGTCCCAAGGCTGGGGACCGCCTCACCTTATGTCCACACAGGAGTGGCTTTCATTAGAAAATCTTAAAGGCTTCACAGAAAGGCTTCAGATGCCAGCCCTTCCCGGCTCCGGCCTTCATTCTGCACAGCTGTGTGCCCAGTGAAATCTGCCCCTTCCTGGGTGGGCCAAATGATCCCACCAGCCATTTCTGATGATTAAAACTCTGAGGGGGCTTCCCTGGCGGCGCAGTGGTTAAGAATCCGCCTGCCAATGCAGGGGACGCAGGTTCAAGCCCTGGTCCGGGTTAGTTGCTCCCACACGCCGCGGAGCAACTAAGCCCGTGAGCCACAACTACTGAGCCTGCACTCTAGGGCCCGTGAGCCATAACTACTGAGTCCGTGTGCCACAACTACTGAGCCCACGTGCCACAACTACTGAAGCCCGCGTGCCTAGAGCCCGTGCTCCGCAACAAGAGAAGCCACCACAATGAGAAGCCCGCACAGTGCAACGAAGAGTAGCCCCCGCTCGCCACAACTAGAGAAAGCCTGTGCGCAGCAACGAAGACCCAACGCAGACAAAAATAAAAAAACAAAAAACAAACCTCTGAGAAACTCTTACCTCTGAGGAGAACTAAGCAGAATAAACAAACCTCTGCCTCCATCATTCGGAGGCCTGCCCCTGCCTTTCAACTTCATCAAAGCAAACTGTCAGACAGCATGTCTCGCACAAGTCACTTCTAAAGGGCGAGCTGCTTTCCTCCCTCATGTTAAAGGGAGTGCTGAAAAGGAGACGAAAAGGGTGTGAGCAGCTCTCAGCTCTTGTACGCCAAAATGGCCCAACAGGTAAACAGCTGGTGTCCAGGAGGAGACCAAAGGGCAATGGCACTCAAGCCTCGTCCTTTCATGTCTGGTCCTTGGTTGTCCTCCTTTATTCTATTCTTGGCTTTTGCCAAGGCCTGCAAACATATCAGTCTTTGGGGAGTAGAGAATTCCAGAAAGAGAAAAAAGATGGCTTCAGAACGAAAGAGTGGACGGACATGTTCTTATTTAGATCTTGCAGAGGAGGTACACAGATGTATACACATGTGAAAGGGCACTGAGCTGAACACTAAAGGTTTGTGCACTGATGCGCCTCACGATTTGTATTTTACACCTCAGTGATACGTGGGGGAAAATGTTTAAAGGATAGGCTTCTCCAGACAGAGATATACTAATATTCTGACTGAGCACTGTCTTCTAGAGACTTCTATAGGTTCTGAGTAACCCTAAAAGAACCTGCAAATGCAGAAAAGGTTTTTCTGCCCCCTCTCTCCCAGTGTGGATCTAGAAATGTCCAGACTTCTTATAAGGATTTCTCCGGGAGAGATAGGCAGTGGAAGACGGATTTGGACATCGACCAAAAAAGAGAGAAGCCTGCTCTACTCATCAGGCCAGCCCCTCCTTCCTGAGGTCAGGTGGGAAGAAAGGAGCCCCACCCCCAGGCCAGCAGAGAGCGCTACCACCCACTACCTCCCAGGCAGACCAAATGAAGACCCCCTGGGCCCTGATGGGCACAGCACAGAGGCCCCAGTGGTACCCACCAAGCTGCAGCACACCCAGCTCACCGTCGACCTTGTTGGATGTTGGCAACTGATTACTCCTAGAAATAAAAAAAGGAAATGTCAATGTACCATAGGAGAATGACAGAGAAATGCAAATAGCAGAGAAGAGTGGGAGAAGTGCTGGATGGGGCTTCAGGAGGTGGGTTCTTTCCAGCTCTGGCCCGGTTCTGTGTATGCCTTGCACCAGCACTCTCCCTCACTGAGCCACAGGTTCCATATCGGATGGGACCAAATCACCTCTGGGGCGCTTTTCAATTCTGTACATACACACACACACACACACACACCAACCAATACAGGACGATGGACCCTGTAGTTTGACACTTCCCGAGAACCGAATGCAAGCTAATTTGCTGATGCCACCGTAATACCGCTGGGAAACACATTCACACGTGCACGTGCGCACACGCACACACACACACACACACACACACACACACACATCAAGTTCCTGCAATCACTGCACAGATTTTCTTATCTCACTTTTTTGTTTGTGTCCTTTCTCCCAGCTTTCTTGGAAAGCTATCAGCAGCCGTTTATCAGAAACCTCACGAATGCACCAAAGAATACATACTGCGATCCTGGCTTGTAAATTCAGAGATGTGCACACAGAGCTTTCTTTAAATGGCCCACCTGTATGTCAGCTCTCTTTGGATCTTTTTTCCCTCCAGCATGCATCGATAGGAACTGAAGCAAAATCATTTTTTTAAAAAGAATGTATTAAAAATAACAACATTACATCATCCCCTTGAAAAATCCATTTAAAATGTTAAAAGTGACAGCTCTTTTGAACGTGGCATTGAAATATATTTTCCTCCAACATCCTTGCAGGCTAAGATATGATTGAAGTAACAATCATAATCTTCCCACGGTAGGTTCTATTGAATTGGCTTCCTCCTGAAGATGTATGAAGGGGCGTGAGTGGAAGACCACGGAGGACGCGCAGTACCGAATCCCTGAGCACGTCCTGCTCTGGACTCCGGGTTTCTTCCTCTGGCACTGGAACACAGAGCTCCTCCTCCCAGCTCCCAGGCAGCCCCTCATCCTCCCGCAAGCAGCTAAGCCCATTTTCCTCAACTCAGAGCCACAAAATGCCTACACCCCTAGGCTACCAGGATTCTGCAAGTGTTCTTGTGGGGAATGGTGAGAGAACAAGCTGGAAAGGGGAGCTAAGGCACGGAGGGGCAGCAGGAGGGAGGGGAGCAGGAGGATGTAGAGGGGAGGGGGGGCCACACAGACACTGTGCCCCCCTCCCCAGGGCCCAGCAATAAGGAGCTGCACTTTCATCAGAAGCCTCTACCAGCCAGCCACACCTCGCCCCACCCCCATCCTCACTGCCACTAAAGCCGAGGACCTGAGTCCCATCCCTTCTATCCCCTGTGTCACTATTTCACCCAGAGACTAAGGCAAGGTGTCTGACAAGCAAGGACTGAGGCGCAGGTGCTAGATGCTCTCTAAAAGCCACCTTGAACCATTCTGAGCTGGGAACATCAGCAGAAAAGACATCTCTGGAACACCCTGATGGCAACAACATCTCTCTTGGGCCCATCTCTGCTCTCTGCCTCTTCGTCTCTCACCCAGATCATTCCCACAGCCCCCTAACAGGTTTCCTGACCCCCCGTGTGATGCCCCACCCCGTGCTGGTCCCCACATCTTCACATGGGTGTCAAAGGCATCTTTCTAGAAAGCAAACCTGACCATGCCACAGCCTGGCTGAAATTCTTCAAAGGTTCCCCGACATCATCATCCAGAGACATCATATTTATAAAAGTGATGGGAATTATAGCGGCAAATACTTTCTGATTCCTTTGACTGTTGCAGGCACTGTGTTAAGTGCTTTGCAAGCATCAAAAGTCATCTGCTCCTCAAAAGAGCCTTAGGAAATAGTCAGGGCACTGAGTCTCAGAGAGGTCCAGTAATTTCCCCAGAGTTACACAGCAAATAAGTGGCAGCACAGGGATTTGAACCTAAGCAATGACTCCAAAGATAATGGCAGCAACCATGACATACACTGCTTCCTCATAAGACAAAACCCAAGCCCATTAGTGTGCCCTCTGGGCTGCCTGTGGCCTGGCTACCTACCACCGCAGCATCACCTCCCTCTGCACTCTCCCACTCCACCTGCATGTCCTTCACGCTAACCTCTCAGCCCAGGCCTCCACCCTTTTCACAAGCTGTTCACTCCAGCTAGAGTATCCCTTGGCAAACTCACACTCATCCGCTACAGCCCTGTCGGAGTGTTACCTTCCTCTCAAATGCAGAGCATGCATTCATTCATTTCTTCACTCACTTAGCAAACATGTGGCAGCTGTCCAGCAGGGCTGTCTCCCTGCCCCAGGGAGACCCAGTTGTGTACAATAAACAGACATAAATTGCACTATGACATGCTGTGGTAGGCTGGATAACGGTCCCCAAAGATATCTGCATCCTAATCCCCGGAAATGGAAAATGGTACCTTGTATGGCAAAAAGAACTTTGCACATGAGATTAAGTTAAAGATCTTGAAATGGAAGAAAGTAGCCTGGATTATCCGGGTGGGGGCAACCTAATCACAAGTGTCCTTATAGGAGGGAGGCAGAAGGAGATCTGACGCAGAAGAAGAGAGGTAGGATGGCGATGGAAACAGAGGTTGAAGTGATGCACTTTGAGGACAGAAGAAGGGGCCACAAGCCAAGAAATGCGGGTGGTCACTAGAAGCTGAAAAAGGCAAGGAAACAGATTCTAGGTGTTAAAGGACGAGCCCTGCCAACACCTTGACTTTAGCCCAGTGGAACTGATTTCAGACTTCAGTCTTCCAGAACAGTGAGATAATAAATTCATGTTGTTTTAAGTCAGTAAATTGTGGTCATTTGTTGTAGCAGCCATGGGAAACTAATACACACAGTAAGAGAAACAATCAAGGAGGAACAAAGGACTGTGAGGTTCTCTTGATTGCCTCTGTATCCTGCGTGCCCAGCACCTAGTCACTGCTCCATACATGGGTGCCAATACCAGAGTGACCCTCACACAAGCTAGGTGACTCACATGGGTCACACAGCTTAGAAGTGCCAGAGCCAGGGCTCAAACCCAGGCCCCTGGCTCCAAATGCTCTGTGTTGCTCTTTTTTCTACTTTATGCTTCCTTTCCCTA